TAGTAGTAGTAGTAGTAGTAGTAGTAGTAGTAGTAGTAGTAGTAGTAGTAGTAGTAGTAGTAGTAGTAGTAGTAGTAGTAGTAGTAGTAGTAGTAATGAAACATGTAGTGCTCGTACTCCAATACGGTAAGGCTCGTATTGACGAGCGCATGACGGACGAAAACCGACGGATACTCCGGGAGTGAATCTGGTGTCAAAACGATATTGTTTCATGCCTACAATAGTGCTCCTAATGTCAAGCACACTAAAGTCAAGTAGTAGTACTTGGCAATTCTCTGGGTGTCAATTTTTTTCATTTTCCCGTCTTTATTTCCCCTCTCCCCCCCCTCCACACAAAAAACTACTACCAAGTCCTTTAATATTTCTATTCATGGTCCTTACTCTGCTGGGGATATAGTAAAATCAGTGCTTACTAGTACTTGAGAATGAATATTAGTGCTTACTACTAGTACTACTGGTGGTGGATCACCTCTGCTGCTTGCAGCACCAACAGAACCCCCTTACCCAGCAGTTTGCACCAGTGTTCACTACTGTGGCATCCCAACTAGTAAGTACTAGTAATGGAGGTGATCCAGTAGTAAGCACTAATATTCATTCTCTAGTAAGCACTGATTTTATATCCCCAGCAGTAAAAATATTTTGGGACCAGGGAGAAATTAAACAAATATTTTTGTCCGCTGGATGCCTTTTGTAACTGGTTTTAACTGTAAAATGAGCTAAAAATTCCTATTAGTATTTGTACGGGGATTGCCAATAACTTGACTTAACTGCGCTTGACATTAGGAGTTCTCGCCTACAAAATGGACATACCGGTACGGTATACGCAAAATGCAACTAAAATTGCATTATCATAATTGCCTCAGCGCAACCAAAAAACAGTACCACATAGCCCTAGACCCGTATATACGGTCATACGTAAGAGTATATTACTGTTTTTTTGACCGTATTGATTTATTTGTGTGCAAAATAATTAGAAGAAACGGTATTGAGATTTTATGTACTACTCTTACTCAGTAGCTTGTTTGTTGCATTCTCAACCGTTGAAAACACGCACGCAGTGCAATAATACAACACACGTGGTTGCGGACGACAAGGTACAAAAGAAAACTTCAGAAGCAAGCAGCAGCTGCAGCAGCATAAAGCAAACAGTTAACAACAGTACTAGTAAACAGCTACTAAGAGCAGCAACAGAATGACACCAGCGCCAGCACAGGAGCAAGATGACGAAGCTCGTCTCGGACGCGGACAACCCGTAGGATTACGTGGAGGAGCAAGGAGAGCTGATCGTGCTGGCGGACGCCGCAGGAGACAAGAACAAGCCCTCGTCCCTCCCCCCAACTTGTTCAGGGTTGCTCGTGAAGCTTTGGAAGAAGCTGCTCGTGAGCAACAAGAAGCTGAGGAGCTGGTGCAACAGCTAGCAGCAGGACGCGGAGGACGTGGTGGACGCGGACGCGGACGCGGCGGAGGACGTGGGGGACGTGGGGGACGTGGGGGACGTGGACGTGGAGGACGTGGGGGACGTGGACACGGAGGACGCGAATCCTCTCCAGTGCAGGCTGGACGCGTTGAGGAAGAGCAGCAGCATAGTAATCCTGGTGAGGACGCTGGTGCTGTAGTAGGGGGACGCGGACGCGGACGCGGAGGACGTGGTGGCCGAGGACGGGGACGTGGGGGACGTGGTGGACGCGGACGCGTTTCTCCTGCTGGTGGTGAGGGGGACGTCGATGCTGCATTGGAAGAGCTCATTAGAGTATTGGATGCAGAAGAAGAGAAGGAAGAAGAAGGAGATCAAGAAGCTGGTGCTGGTGCTGATGGTGAGGATAGTAATCCTTTTGGTGAAGGTATCAATGGTGACGACGTCGCGGATGGAGGGGAGAGTGTTAATAGCCAAGGAGCAACAACATCAACAACAAGAAGCAGGCCGCGTCCTGGGCAAGCTCCTAGGCCACCACCAGGTGTTACTATTCCAGATCAATGGCCAAGTTACCACAGGATATTCCTAAACTTCATGGATTTTGTACATGGGAAAAGAGATGGAACTTTTGATAATCCTCCCACTGAAGATACAAGATTTCCCCRSGACYATRTGTTTAGYGATGATGAGCTTTCTAACTTAACACCTGATCATGTTTATAGATTCCTTGCACTACAGGCTTATAAAAAGGAGGATCCAACTCCTGATGACAACCCTRTCCATGCTAGGTCTAATTCTGTAGAATATTCAAAGAAAGGTATTTCGTATTTTCTTCCAAACAAGAGTATTAAGTGGACAGTTCTCCAAGGTGTTGGACATGGSAATCCCACACAATCTACWAAAGTGAATGAWTTAATTGCTGCAATTAAACTGAAGGAAACAAGGGGGCTTGGGAAGCCAACACAGATGGATAGGGGCCTAACAAAGGGAGAGTTTTTGCAAGCATTGGATCTTTTGGAACAGCATGGTTCTGTAACAAATAGGAGGCGATTTATAGCAATGATGGTGGTGCAAATGCATTTTATGGCTCGAAATGATGATATGGCTCACATAACGAAGGATTCTTTGAAAGCTTGTTCTAGGTTCCCTGAATTTTTGACCTTGAAGATGAAGTGGTCAAAGAATGTGAGGGAGGACAGAGACTGTCCAGACCAAATCTTGATGGGATCCATGAATCCAAAAACATGCGCAGTACTTCAATTGGTGTTATTTTTGGAGAAGTGGTTGCAGGATGGAAATGGAGCAGTAAGTCAATGGCTTTTTACTGAAGGGACGTCCAGTTCAAGGTCGCACATGAAATTTATGAAGAAGGAAATCGAACGTGGAAAAGCCCAGTATTCTGGATTTTTAACTAGGCATGTATGGAAAAACAGTGCGTTTAATAAGGAGTTGCCAGGTAGATTGGGGACTCATTCAATTAGGAAGCATGCGGTTTCACTTTGCAGACATACTGGAATGCCAAGGGATGATGTTAATTATAGAGCTAGATGGAAAACCAATAAGATGCAACAAGATCGCTACACRGATATGCAATTACTATGGCCAGATATTAATGCTGCAAGCAAGTTGTGTTACGACRGAGTTTGTTTGTATAAGCCAGTGAATGGGTCTGGAGTAACGGATGAGTGGATAACAGAACATGTGACTCCTAATATAGCAAGTTCGTTTGGTAATCAGGTTGCAGCAATTCTAGGAAAGGCATTACTATGGGCATGCTTCGAACCTTCTCTAATT